CATCTAATAATAAATCCAAAAGCAAACAAAGTAATAGCAAAACTGTCTACAGAGTTTAACAACAAATGCAGTGTGGCTATTGGAAGAACATTTACATGTACAATATTAGGAGTTGTAATCATGCTCAAGTGTATAAATTGTTATTACACCCATTGAAGCAGTGGCGTTGGAACAATTTATAGTGGGTGTGCTGAAAGCCACTGAAGAAAACTATACCCTGTATATGATGGAAACCACTTCAAGCCAAAGGGTGCTACTGCACCCCCAGCACTCCTGCACTGAAAGAATGGTCATGCACCCCAAAAATGTTCATTCCTAAAGGAATATGTAAGCCAGGAGGAAGGAGAAGTAATGCTTTGATTTTTAAAAAAAAACAAAAACAACTAATTCTGTTTCCAAGTCTGAAAATATTTTTGAAACGTAAACATTAAGATTACACTTAAATGCCTTGTCAGAAGTGACATATAAGCAAACAGATAATGTGTTCAATTACTGGTTTCTATTTAAGGTTGTAGTTCTGGTGGATATACCAGGATCTGTCCCCTATTTTATACTCACATAACAAATTAACATTTTAAAATTAATAAATACATAGGTAGGAGAGTCATACACAAGTGGGTATATGTCACATTTTAAAGTATTTTATATATAGGTTTTAAAATCCCCTTTTATTAATTGCATAGCATAGGCCAGTATTTTAATGTCAAGATCAGTTTCAGTATGTGTATTGTAATGAGGCACCATTTAAATTTTCTTTCCCCCTTATAAATCCATAAATACCATAAGAAGGTGCTTATTCTAAGCTCTAGGCATCTTTAATACATAAAACACAAACCATATCAGAAAAACAAAACCAGTAGCAAATGCCACCATGTACTAGCAATAATCAGTTAGCCCTTTAACAGCAATTAAAAAAAATCCCTACTATCAAAAAAGCACTATTTTAGACCAAAGACTCCGCTGCTGCTACCATGACTACGCTGCTATCTCGATGAGAGCTAGCGCAAGTATGCATACGCAACCGGGGGAATCACTCCCCAGCTCCTAGCATAGCCTTTGCGAGAGTCAGACATTTACTTTTCATGGGAGGTATTGAATTAGTTATCAAACACTCTCATTTGGCAGGGAATCTTTCAGTTTCTGCATCTGCAAGTGATATATATTTTGGCTTGTGTCTACAAGTAATTCTTCTTGTACGAATATTCTTGTAGAACTCCTAAGCAAGACAACAGAGGATCAAAGGGAAGCTCACTGCATTGGAAACTATATGTAGTAAGAGAGGACATTTCCAGGAGACCTGGCTAGCTGAACTTCTGGCAAATTTTCAGATTCTTTAAAGGAATCAGCCATATACTGTAGGTCATGTGTTTTATTTAAAAAAATTATGCCAATCCAAGTTTTGATGTTATGACAATTAATTCTTCAAAGAAATATTGTTTCGTTCTCAAGGAGAATTCAGATAATTTTTTTCCCTTCTGGGCATGTCAAACTTCATTATTTCATATGTAAATACTCCCTCCTTTTCCCCCACACTATTTTATTATTTTATTTTTAAAGGAAATAACCCAACTTTCAGATACATCATCATAACTTGTATTTATAACTGGTTAATGTGTTTAATGTAAATCTTTTTGCCCGAGTTCAAATCTTCAAAATAATACTATAATAATGTGATGTTTTGGATAATATTTACTTATTGTTTATTAAAAATAGCATTTACTAGTTCATAAATTTCCAGAAATATTGCTCATTCTCTACATTTTTGAGATACACATGGACAGAGAACCACAAATACACATATGGAGACACAAATATGTAGGCTAATCTATTTTGTCTAATCTAAAAAAGTGCCTACCACCATTGTATCTAGGCACTTGCACATATCTAATTATATTAATACATTAATTAAAAAAGGAGAGAGAGAGAGACTTCTTTGATAAAGACTATAGTTTTCTGATGCCACCTGAAAGTCACTGCTCTCAAGTACTATCATACACATATTATTGATCATTAACTGAATATTTTAATATTAATCAAAAAGATGTAACAAACTTTCAGTTTCTGCTTTTCACTTTCCCAGCAGGATGTTCTGAGACTTATACTGTAGCAATGTGAAATATAGGAGATTTACAAGGGCATTCTCATTTCTACTATATGTGCCAGCAGATCACTTAGCAAGCACAAACATGACAGTTTACAGTGCTAATTAAATCTACTGTAGTTATAAAATATTTAATTCAGTCATACTAGCTTTCTGTTTATTTCTGGTGCAGTAACTAAATGTGAATTCTGTTTAGTTATTCATTCGCGACAGAATGGTATGCAATATGGAATTTAAAGACACTTACTATGGAATTATACACTATTAAAATTTGACATCTTACTGTGGCACTGCATCTCAGTTTTAGCAGAGCTTCAACTACTGCCTTACAGACGGTTATATTAAAGCAGATCCCTCCCCACCCCCCCGAGCATGTATTTTGCTTCAGGAATTTTGGGAAACAATTGAGCAAAATCATTGATCAGAGTTAGGTATACACTCAGCAATCAACATGCATCGTTTGTATTCAGATTTAATGGCTAAACTACCAGGCTTACAAATGAATAGGTAAAAAATGCAGTCCATTCAGTCGTGCGTGTTTGCAGGATATGGGACTTAGTGTGTGTGTCTAAATACTCCCCCTGGCCCGTGTAGGATTATTTTATAGACTATGAGCTATATTCTGCCATCAGTTATACCCACACAATACCATTTACTTATATGGGGTTGCACAGATCTTTCTGAAGGCAGAATGTGGCTCATTACTCTCAATTGCTTGGACTATTATAATTTTAAAATGACGTAAGTGATGGGTTTTCCATCATCTTCCTTGAGATTTTATTCAAGGGTTTAATATCTTCCAGTGCTGGGAAGTTTTCTCAACATTCAGCCTAAATTTCACTTCCAAAAAATCATAATATTATTCCTAGTTATGCTCCTAAACAATTCCTCTCCCTTCTTAATGTTAGCTTAAAGACATGAAATGGAAAAAATGTGGTGTTTCCTAAAAAGGCTTGATCCAGTGTCAACAGAACTCAATAGAAAGCCTCCAACTGACTTCAGTGGCCATTGGATCAGGCCCCCAAGGACACATATTAACTTTGGCATTGTTATTTTTAGGCCTGTCTGCTATTGATTAGCAATTAAATAAGATGTCAGTTTTTAAAAAAAACAACGAGGAGTCTGGTAGCACCTTAAAGACTAACACATTTATTTGGGCATAAGCTTTCGTGGGTAAAAAAACCCACTTCTTCAGATGCATCTTCGGTTGCATCTGAAGAAGTGGGTTTTTACCCATGAAAGCTTATGCTCTAATAAATCTGTTAGTCTTTAAGGTGCCACTGGACACCTCGTTGTTTTTGTGGATACAGACTAACACGGCCACCCCTCTGATACTTGACACCATGCAAGGCACTCAGTTTTTAATGTTTATTACATTGTTATTTTTGAATGTATTAAAAACAATGGGTCTGTCTGTCTATTTCTAATCTATCTATCCTTTGTACACATGCTAAGAAGCATCTCCACTTTCTGAACTGAAATAACAACACAGAATTGTTTACATTAAATGCTTATTTTGTTTTAGTAAGAATCTTAATAAAGAGTAACCAATTTGATAAAATGACAGGGATTCATGAGAAAGAGAAAGTGGGTATGTCTGTTTTAGAGAAAAGTAGACAAACTTGTAAATGTAGATTAGAGGAGGTACTATATAACAATAGTGAGAAGTAAACATTATTTCAGGTGGTTAAAGGTAGTTTAATAAATAGTAGCCTGAGCTTCCAAAGGAAAAAGTTTAAATTAGACATCAGGAAAAATAATTCTTACAGTGGGGACAGTTTGGCAAAAAAAAATATTTTGTCGAGAGCAATTGCTGAGACTTTGACATTAGGGGTGTGTGATGGGGGCAGAAGTTGTTAATGTAAGCTGTGGGCTCAATCAGCCTCCCCTGGCTACACCTGCAGTGTGTGTATGGGGGGTGGCGTGGGGATTAAAAAGGCTGAACCAGGCAGGTCTCTGGCTCTCTCAACAAGAGAAGCCTGGCTGGAGTCAGGGAGCTGAGTGGGACTGCTGGCAGAGACAGAGCCTCCATGAAGGAAGGTAGGGCTGCACCTGGGAGTCCAAGGCTCTTGGGAAGGAAAGTGGAAGGAAGGAAGTCTGCCCAGGATTCTTGGTACTGGTGAAGAGACCTGCAGGGAGCAGGAAGACTCCTGCTGGGGCAGGGATTGCCCTGTCAAGGGAGTGGAGCAAACTCTCCTGCAGCAGAACCAGTTGGGTGACAGAAAGTTCTAAGAAGCTCTGCAGTGAGCCTGTGGAAGAGGTTTGGAGAGGGAGAAGTTGATACACTTTGATCCTGGGAAGAGGCTATGGCAAAGGCTCTCAACAGGGGAAGAAGATAGGAAGTGGTCCAGGGATGGAGCAAGGGGTCTGTATAGTCAAGCCTTGACTATTTATTTAAAGGCACAGGACTGGAACCCGAGGGAGGGAGGAAGGGAGTGGGACTGTTGTCCCCACTATTGGCCTACTGAAGAAGGTGCACAGATAAGGACTACTGAAACTTCTGGATACCAGTGGTAAGGGCTAGTGAGTCCAGGGTTGGACTGAAGGCCCAGTGTAAGGCCAATGGACTATTATTTGTTAGACTATTGGTTTATCCCAGAAGGAGTAGAACTGTCTGTGACCTGGCTGGAGGGCTGAGTTGCAAGAAGTACCCCACCATGGGACTGCAATGGCTGTCAGCAGGGGGCACTAAAGGAGGAGTGCTTGCTACACCATGCCCAGACACAAAGAGGGTTTGCTGATTGATGAGGCACATGCATACATGGTCTTCAATAGTGAACAAGATAAAACACTACACCGAGCCTGTGAGGAGTTCAGTCAGATGGCCAGACAAATGATAAGGATGGAAAAGAACAGTTGGACCCACATAACTGATTAGAGGTAACGCAATTTTACTCACAGGAGTTGTGCTTTCTGGTCTGGCCACAGGTGCTTTAACAGTAGTGCCTTTGGAAGAATCTACTCTCATATCTGAAGTTGTGCCTGTTTGCAAAGTTCCCAGATAATCTGGTGGGGGGAGGACAACACCACCTTTATCTGCTAGATTTATAGAACTGATACTTCTGATTGGTGCAGCGCTAAAAGGGGGGGAAAAAAGCACATAATAGCTTAATTAAAACAACAACTAATACTGGTTTGGGCCCCAGTCCAGCAAAGAACATAAAAACATGTGCCTAGCTTTTAATACACGAGTCATCCCATTGACTTCCGTGGGTCTACTTGCGCTTAAAATATGGGTCTTTGGTGAAAGAAGATGGTATGTAATCAAGGCATATGAGAAAGAACATATAATGTTAGAAAATATTTATAGTATAGATCACATTACTGAACAATAAAACATTAGGAGAAATTAATTTTAAGAAGAAAAAAAAGTTTATTAGAAAATGTGAACACCTCGACTGAATGTGGTGGGTCTTTGTCTAGCGAGCAGAAAAAAGCAGAAGAGACTCATTTATTGGTTCCTACTGCATTTGGATTATGAGAGAGGGGAAAGGGGGATGGATGTAACTGAGTGGAGCCCAGGGGGAAAACAGGAAGAGACCAGAGTAGACCAACCCATCATGTGCACTGGGGAGGATAGGGTGGGGAAGACAGGAGGATTTACACTGAGTGCATTCTGGAAGGATTTCTCTCTCTTTCATCAGTCACTGGCAAGCAGCACCTCTGGGAACAGAGTAGGACTGGGTAATCGGCTGTGTGCATCGCTGGGACAAAGAGTTTCTGTCACGTTTAAAGATCTTTAAACAGTTCAACAAACCGCACAACAACATTACCTTCGCACTGGAACATGTACTGTTTCATCACTTGGCTCTGCCAGTAGCTTTGTGTATGATGATGGAAACCATCCTTTTCTGTAAAATGGGAAAAAATGGACAACCTGATATATTTGAGTATTTATACTTTTAAATTGATGGCACTGTATGGAAGAGCAGGCTCAACAAGGCTAGATTAAGATTTAGCTTTTATGCCTGGCCTTTGGTGATATTGTTTTCCGGGGATTTTGTATGTATACTTATTTTTGTATGACAAATTTGCCTCCACAGTAACACTTTCCTGGTTGCTGAACACTTCCCTCAGAATTCCCAATCAATGACAGTGAGCAGGGAAGCAAAAAACTACTTGCCAATTTAAATAGACAAAATAGAATAAGATGTATTTGTCCCTCCGATGCGGGAATCAGGTAATACATTGATTGACTTACACTTTAGTTATGTCATGTTCCCCATAAAGCCAGCCATCCTTTTCTTCAGCTATAAGAAGTGTGATGACATCTCCCTGTTCAAAGCTAAGTAATGTCTTGTTAGTTCCAGCCGTATGTGGAAAGATAGTTTTTACTTTCTGCCTTTTCATTATGTTCAGTCCTGTGGCAACAGAAGTTGAACGTGATAAACTGGCATCATCTGAATTACCTGTTAAAAAAATCAGTGTAACAATAACCACAGGGTAACAGAGTGAAACAGGTACCTAAAAAGAGAAAAATACAACAGCAGCACCAAAATTTTCCACCAAACAGCTCATCCAAACTATCTATTGTCCTGGCTCAATGGTTTCCAGTTACAGTAAAATCTTCACAACTGCCATTTGCAAATAATTAACATTACCACAATATTCCTTCTGCTAAGTATAGGAAATACTATGGCTAGTGCAATAACTTTAAATTAGTAAATGTAAAACATGTACAAAATTTAATGACCACAACTGGTTTTCTTTAGTGACTGGATGTTGCTAAAGTACACATTGATGAGAAACCTTACATGCTATCATTTCCGATTCCAGAAGACTTTAACTGTGTTCAGAAACTGAAGGCCTATAAAATCTGATTTTTCAGATGTAACAAGAACTCAGCTTCAGCTGAAGTCAGTGAAAGGTGCAGGTGTTTGACACCACTGAAAAACCAGGACATTAATGTGACTACAGGGATGTCTCAAATCTTTGTCAATGACATAAGTTCTACACATAATACAGTAACTCGTCACTTAAAGTCGTCCCGGTTCACGTTGTTTCGTTGTTACGTTGCTGATCAATTAGGGAACATGCTCGTTTAAAGTTGTGCAATGCTCCCTTCTAATGTTGTTTGGCAGCCGCCTGTTTTGTCTACTGCTTGCAGGAAGAGCAGTCCCTTGCAGCTAGCTGGTGGGGGCTTGGAACCAGGGTGGACCGGCAGCCCCCTATCAGCCCCGCTCCCCTAAGTTCCCTGGGCAGCAGCTTCCTGCAGTTCAGCTGTGTCCCTCCCCCCTCTGCCATGTGCTGCTCCTGCCCTCTGCCTTGGAGCTGCTCCCCGAGACTCCTGCTTGCTGTGCCAGGGAGGAGGGAAGCAAGAGGGGGGCTAATGTCAGGGTGTCCCTCTTCCCCCTGCTCCTGCACCCCGCTTACCCCATCTTCCATAGAGCAGGGCTCAGGATGGAGGGAGCTTGCAGAAGCTGTGGTCTCAGCAAGCTGATCTAATTAACAAGGCAGTGTACTTAAGGGAAATGCGCATATCTCCCTCCATTCCTGCTGCCTTGCAGAGTGAGAGAGTTAACCCTTGAGGGCTCAGTCAATTGCTAGTTCATCATTTAGCAGTCAGGAAAATATCCCACCCTCTGACTCCTCCACCTCAACCAAGCTTCACAATCATCATCAGTGTGTACCAATATTAAATTGTTTGTTTAAAACTTATACTTCGTGTGTGTGTGTGTGTGTATATATATGTCATTTGTCTGGTGAAAAAAAATGTCCCTGGAACCTAACCCCCCCATTTACATTAATTCTTGTGGGGAAATTGGATTCGCTTAACATCGTTTCGCTTAAAGTCGCATTTTTCAGGAACATAACTACAACGTTAAGTGAGGAGTTACTGTAAATGGTTTGTGTGTGTTTGAGCAGGAGAGCCAAGCATTATTTTGATTATCTTGGAGAATTTTGTGCATTCCTTAAGTCATGATCTTGCCCTAGGTTTTTTTTTCTAACAAGCAGAATATAATCTGGAGGTAATGTTTTAACACCGGTACAACATATCCTAATCTTAATGGCATTTCCCAAATCTTAATGGGATTTTCCATTTGAGCAGCGAGAAACAATGAAATAGTAGACCCGTTTTCTCTCACACTTGTTTTTCAAAACTACTTTTGGCACTCTTTTTAAACAATGCAATATTTGTTCATTTTTACTACTTGGATGCACTGAAATAATCACTTTGATTAAGAGAGAACGAGCTAAATTAGAATGCTAGCAATTTCTATTTGTCTTTACAAAATGGCACACCAATATGCCAAGCATGCAAAGTGACAGTCATGTGGCTGACCAAATACTGTATTTCAAGAGGAAGATATTAAAACTTATTACACTTTCATCAGAGAATCTCAAGAGTTTTACAGGCATTAAATAAATGTGGTCCAGCACTGCACTACTATTTTTCACCATTTTATAGTTGGGGAAGTTAGATAAAGGGAGGTTAAAGGTGGAATTTTCAAAGACTATTAGCTGAAATCTACTCCCACTGAAGTGAAACATTAGGTGCTTTTGAAAATCCCACTTTGAGTCTTGCTCACAATTAATCAGGAAGTAATTGGCAGAGATTGATAGAGCTCTGCAAATCTGCAGATTTCCGCTTTATAGCCACAGATATCTGCATCCAAACCATGTTTGTGGATCATGGATTGGATGTGGATACAAATTTTGTATCTGCGCATGGCTCTAGAGATTACAACAGAATCTAGATCTCTTGACTTGGGCTTTTACCACAAAACATTCTTCCTCCTTCAGTATTTTAATTTTTCTTATTAGACAGCTACCTAGTGCAATATCTTTTTACTAAGAATATCACTAACATTTTGGAAAGACAATTTTTCCTTCCCCTAGGATATTCCCGCTGGAACTCCAAAGATATATCATATAGCGACTACTTTGATAGCCAAGACAGCTACACTAATTTTTGATAGATAGCACAGTATGTCATTTGTATTTATTGTATATCAGTAGCAAGATGAAAGCGAAGCCCATTTTCTACATTAAAATAACATTTCAACATGTAAAAACTCACCTGCTGAATTATTTAAGCTTTCCGAAGGAACCTTTGGAACTGCTGGTGGATTGTTAAACATGTCAACTAAAGGACTAGTAAATGCTCTAACTGTAGGAGCAGGGGGCACTCTTCCAACCTAAAGATACAAAGTTTTATTAAGATAATGTTATCATAATAACAAAATGACAGGGACCTCTTAGATTACTTGCAGCACTGAATTCTAAAAGGTAATAACCAAATATTCTTAAATTAGACAAGCTTAAAATTGTGGAAGGTCCCTAGCTGCCCAACTTCTTCGATGAAAAAAAATAAACTTGGAGGAGTCCTCTGTCACTGGACCCACAGGGTGCAAGGACCTTCCCCACAGAACCAGTTGCAGGAGTGGGGCCTAGTTTCTAACATAACTATTCCATTCAGTTACATTCTGGTTGTTATATATTTCATCAGATATATAATCACTATTATCTTTTCAATCATTTGAAAATAGTAAGTTAGGTTTCTTTTTAATTCAGAAAAAATACTCTCTTGAAGTAAATTATAGTACACTTAGGTGCCCTCTGTTTCGAGTATATTTCAATATATTAGGACCATTGTATGCTACCAATTTACTTGAGTTTCATTCAGAAACTCAAATGTTTCCAAAAATGATTTCCCCTACAAATAGGGGTCTGAACATGAGAGCCTATGGCTTCTTTTTCCTGGCAACCCAGAATTCACTGGAGTCAATGGGGCTTTGTGTAGATACAAGAATCTACCTGATGCATCTATTTACTGGACTGAGGCTCCAGTTTGTAACTCATTCCAGAATCATAATTCAGGTTGTTTGTTATGGCTTTTGAGTCCAAATGTTTTTGTACATGAAGAGATCAGGGAAGTCAATCCAACCTTGAGAACTTGTAACCAATACATACCATACTATTTCTCTCTGTCACTGGTGAAGGTTGTGGAGTTCCTGAGATTGGAGTTGAACCAGGCGTCTTCATATCTTCTATCATATTCATAACTTTTTCTGGCACTTTTGTGGCATCACTACACATTTCCTGCCATCCAGGCAACTTGGAGTTAAGTAAATCTGCACACTGTAACCAATAAAAAAAGTTACATAATATGTATCTTTTTTTTTTTTTTTTTGGTTAAACCAACATTTGGATTGTAAAGGGGGAATATTCTGCCTTTAATTACATCAGTGCAAACTCAGTGATGTATATAGGGTTGTACATGTGTCAGGGACAACAGAATTTAGCCTAATATAAATACTCTTGCTAGGGAGTCTTTACATACAAATTTAAAGTAATGCTATGTGATAGAAACAACTGCCCTACTGTAAGACTGAGATATTGGAATATTTATTTTGTCAATCCATAGATATTTCAATAATATTTGGTTTCCTGTCATAATTTATTACTACAAGAAGTAATGGATTACTAACTGAAAATACTGCATTGAAAACATTTTTCTATTAAATACATAAAATTTTCATGAGCTACATAATGTATTTTATATTATCTTTATCATTTATGGACCTCAACATACACTAAGGAGATGAGTTTTGCCTCACCTCATTAGGCCTATCAGTTTTACCTCACCTGATTAAGCCCTATGAGTGTTTGCATTCATGCCACCTAGATTTCCAGCCACACTGACCTGTTTATGATAGAAGTGCATGTGCTGAGTTAAACTACAGTGCTTGTCAACCAGAAAACAGAATCTTCTTTTTTCTTCAAGTAGAGCTTCTCTGCAACCTTCAGCAATAAATCTTTGAATATCACTCTGTCGAGAACTCACAGTTTCCAAATACTAAATAATAATAATTAATAAATTAATAATGAATTATGCACAGGCTACTCATGAGCTTGACTTTTCTTACACAACCCTACTTATTTAAGCATATCTTGTTCCTTTCTGGAATTATTTTAAGAAATCTAGTAATCTAAATTCCTTTATGTAAAGGAACATGAAGCTTTTGCTTTAAACCTCTCTTTTACATTTCAGATAATTATTTATCTTTACTATGCCCACCAAAGTAGACAAAACTGACTGTTTGCCAGTAATCATCCACATATTAGAAGACAAAAACAAAATCCATACAGTGCAGCAGCAAAGAGAAAGAACTTCTAGCCTCCACACAGAACTGAAATAAGTCATAAGATTATTTCAGACTAGCAGAAAGTGAGCAGAACAAATCAGACGTTATCTACTATCGGTCTTTTTTTTTTTTTTTATCATCTCACAGGTCCTGTCTCTGGGCTCCCATCACTATAGTCCATCAATGTTTCACAAATATTAACAAACTTATCCTCACAAAACCACCGTGAAGTATGGAACTATCACTACCTCAATTTATGGCTGGGGAACTGAGTCACCGAGAGATTGAGACCTGACCAAGGTCATCAAGGAAGTCTACGGGAGAGGTGGGAATTAAACTTTGATCTTCTGAATCCCAGTCTAGTACCTTAACCACAAGACAATCCTTCCTCTACTGAACTTAGGTTATTATACAAATAACTAGAAACAGTAGCTAAACATTATGTTCAATATACTTGGCTAAAATGTCAACTATTTTATAAAGAAAACACATTGAAAATAGAAGATAAAGAAAAAAATTAAAAGAATAAGTAACATGAATTGAAGACTGAAGGAAGGAAGTGCAAAGAAAACTGCAAATAAACAAGTATTTGTGTATATCTGATTCATACAAAACATTTACATTAAAATTTGTACCATTATTTGAAGCAACAGCACAATCTACCTGTTTACTTTCACAATGTTACTATTTTTTATTTTGCATCAAAATGGCAAGGCTTTTTATAGGATCACTAGGACAGGTAATACTAAGTGATAATATATTATGTTTAGCATAACACCTTTCAGAATGAAGGTTTCCAAAGCACCTCAAAAACTTCAACTGATAGACCAACTACACACAGGTCTAACTTCACCCACTATTGTTACTACAGGCAACTGTTATATGTACACAGAGGAGTTAAGACCAATCTTTTACAAAGATTACCTGGTGATCTTTAATTAACACAAATAGTCAGTCCTAAGTTTTACGTCTCCCCTCGAAGATGGCAACACAATGTCCCCCTGTAGCATACTGGAACCTCCTGCACCTACTCTGCCACTTGCTGATACCACCTGCGCCACTAGGAACTTGTGTAAAGGGGGTGGGGGTTGGAGATAAAATGGCAGAGAGGGAGTTTGTCAGTGGAAGGAAGGGGAGGGGTGTGTGATGAAGTGAGGCTCCACTAGTCCTGATTCTCTACTGGTAGATGGTCTTCTGCCAACAGCATCACTTAAAGCTGTCCCCCTGCAGCTTTATGTTATACCAAGACCAGGCAGAACATAAGAACGGCCATATTGGGTCAGATCAAAGGTTGATCTAGCCCAGTATCCTGTCTTCCAACAGTGGCCAATGCCAGATGCCCCAGAGGGAATGAACAGAACAGGTGGTCACCAAGTGATCCATCCTGTCACCCATTCACAGCTTCTGGAACAGAATCAGGGAACTGTGACTGGCCCTCTGTCAACCCTCCGCCCATCCTCCCCGGCCCCTCATTGTGTCTGAACTTGCTTGGGCACAGTTAAATTAAATTAAATTATTGGAGATATCCTATCTCCTAGAACTGGAAGGGACCTTGAAAGGTCATCGAGTCCAGCCCCCTGCCTTCACTAGCAGGACCAACTACTGATTTTGCTCCAGATCCCTAAGTGGCCCCCTCAAGGATTGAACTCACAACCCTGGGTTTAGCAGACCAATGCTCAAACCACTGAGCTATCCCTCCCCCCATACATAAGAATTCAAGCTTGTATGTACTGGAATACATAATAAGTTGCAATTAATTGTGGCCACAAGTAATAGTATTCAGATGTCCTACTATTTGATGTGGATTATAAATCCAGTAGTCAGAAATCCAAATGCCATTACTACAACCCATAATTAATTGCTAGTACACAAACAGAAGCTACATTAAAAACAAAATCCAGGGCTTGATCCTACAAAGAGTAATGCAATCAATGGGACTCCATGTAAGGAGTATAGGATTGGACCCTAAACCTTAATGTCAGTTTTTTTTTATTATATATGCTAGTAATCTTAACCCAAAATAACTTGGGAAAAATCAAAAGCAACAATAACTGCTCTGAAGTTCTTCTGTCTAACTGTTGCCAAATAACTAATATAGGAATTATTCTATATGATAATTAAATATATTACAGGCATAGAAATCAAGATCAGTTTGCTCTAAAGTGGATTCAGGAGAACTTGAACTAACAGCTTAAGTTTTCTATTATTGACCAGTTTCCCTAAACTGGATAGAAGAGAAAAGCCAATAAGTAAGAGGAGCGAGTACACTAACCTCAAATTCTTTATTCTCATATTTCATTGCGTTTCTTCCACCTTGACTTTTCCTTTTGATTTTTTTCAGCTCAGCCTGAGATTTTTCCAATGAATCTAACTTGCTTCTGTGTTCTGTTTGGTATCGCTTTAAAGTTGCCTGCAATCAAAGCATTGAAGTATCTTGCAGTGCATGCAACAATACAACTATCAGAGCACTAATGCAGGCAGCTAAGAAATCCACTGTACTGTTATGATGATTAACATTAAAGCTACAAATGTGTCAATTATTTTTCTTCATGTTAGAGAATCTAGTTCAAAACAAAATTCCATTGTTAATTATTCTCTAATATATAGCTGTACATTACAGAATAACTTCTAAAATAAACCAAAGAAGTTGAAAACATCCCTCAGTAGTTAAAGATCAAATTCTATGTATGCTCCTTTTGTAAATTATCATTTTAAAAAGGCACAAACAATTGCTATGGCTACGCACAATGCAAATAAATATATGATCTTTCTTTTCTGGTATTTAATTCAGTGTACTTACATTCATATATTTTACATCCAGTTCCGTTTTCTTCTCCAGTTCAGATATAATCTCTTTATGAAATTTTTTGAACTTTAAAAGTAAGCAAGTGATAATAGGGTTATTTAAAATTAAAGTAAAACTGTTTTTTTATTTCAAAAAGGTTAGATAGGGTAAAAAATACTTACACTTTCCTCTAGGCTGTCATTAAGTATCTTGTTTGTGCTTGAAATATCTATAAGGACATGTCCTGTGGATAAATAAACACCCATTTTTCTTGTTTCTTTACAGATGTTTGAAGTTGTCAACACACAGTAGAAGCAGGATGATACTTTTATAATTAACAGTATAAAGTGAACTAAGAATTTAAGCAGGGCACCTTCTTGCAATGGTTAATCATAGCAATCTTATCCTGAACAAAATAATTTTATGTGGCCACAGTTTTACTAAGCAGCTTACACACATGACTTGAATAATTAATAATCTATGTGAAAGCAACACTGAACCTGTCTTCATGTTTTCTTGCCTACCTCCCTATATGCATGGATCTCCCTCCTTGGACTAGTCAGCAAAGCCACTGTCCTTTCTTCCTTCCTCCTTTAGACGAACTTCTATAACTGCTGTAACTACATGAAATCAGCCAACCAGGGCAAAATCCACAAAGGCTTTGAAGAGAAAACAATCCCTCCCCAAACAAAACAAAAATACAAACAACCCCCTCCCACAACAACACCCCAAACAAAACAAATCTTTCTCCCCACACTACATTTAAGGGATCTGGAACCATCAAGCTGGGGACACAGCTAGCCTATGTAACTGTGTGAACATATTGTTTATACCCTTATCTCCCTATCCTCCCTTCATTATTGTTTGCCAGGCTCAATTTACGTCTGTCTTAAATGAGGCTGAAGTAGAAACCATGTCTTTTGGGGTTGTAAAGCACCTCGTACACAGAGCACAATGGAACCTGCGCTAAATAATGTAAAATATGGCGTGTACAATCTTTTCAAGGAGAAAGATGTGCATCTCCCCCTATTTCTTGGATTGCCCCTGTCTGCCCCATCCCAGCCAGTCTCCATCCCCTGCAGGGATTGCTTCATGGGATTTGGCAAAAGGAGAGAGAAGAATGCTATGGAGACAGCTGAGCTCCAGTCCTTCTGGAAGGAAAGATATCTCCAGTTGGAGGATCCCCTTTGTGCCCAGATCTTGTGGGTGGGAGAGCTGGGCTATTGTTAAGGGGATTTTCATGTATCTGTTTTTCTGGGTCATTAAATCTACCTGACAGAATGCTGTGATTGTTTCTTTGGGTGTTCTCTGTTTGTAGTTAATACAGTGTGCAGGGGTAAATACCATGTGAGGTGAGAGTTGCTATAGTAACTGGTTATTTATATGCAATAACAAAAGTAAATACAGTGCAGTTACATAAAAAAACACTTGTCTGGTAAGTAGACGGCATGACCAAGTGAGCCTGTTATTTTAGGACTTCAGGAGTGGATGCACTCTCCTGTAGTATTCCTGTTAACAGAACTCCATCATCACAAAGATACTGTAAATGTTAGACTGGTAATCCCAAACAAAAAACTAGATTAAACCGGAGAAAGCCTGTAGACATCTATCAATAACTTAAAGGGAAAAGAATATTGCTAAAAGAAACTTAAAAACAAGAAATTCAAATTTAAGGTTACAATTAAAACTAAAACTAAATGTTTGAAAACATATAATTGATGGGGGTGGGGAAAAAAGAACTGACAGTACATTTACTTTAAAGGGCATTTAAACTTGCCTGTGCAAACTTCTTTTAAGAACTTACTTCCACTCTCTCTGACAGCATGTGAATTTGCTGCCACAGCAACACACTTAGCTAATGGCTGGCGGCATTGTAAAGATTAATGCAGTAGACCTTGGAGCTCCAAGTACTGACAGCTATCCAACAACACTGGGTGCTGGCTCGCTCTCTCATCACTCTTTTACATTCCCTTCCTTTGGGTTTCCCGTCCCACCACCGTGTAAATGCTTAGTAAAACAACCCATTCACCTGGTGCGTCAAGAATGGAAAACCTGACGTGAGAATGTTGTTTTTCTTGTCTGAAACAGCACTCAGGATGACTGTAAGCCCTCAGTTTTAGGGTCTGAATACTTAGTTAGAAACACATTTTTTCACCCTTATTATAACATGTATCTTGCCAAAATTTATCTTGAAATAAAAAATATTTTAAAAATTACATGTTATTTTAAAAGTTTGCACTGGTTTAGTTTACAAATTTATTTTCTTCATATTTGTATTGGTTACAACATACACAAGTACATTTTTAAATTAATATTTTTAAAGATTAGTGACCATCTGTTGCATAACATTTTTTCCCCTTTTAAGCAAATTCAACCAAAGCGAATCCTAGTATTCTTCACTGCCGATATAAAACCCGTTTCATCCTAGAATCCCCTCATTGCTACCAGTAATCCAGCAGCACTCAGATGTACTAGCTGACCCATTTCATTTCCTGTTTCATGTTTTGAGTCAACATTTCGAGCAGAAACCCATAGTAAGTGCACTGTGATCTAATAAGATGTAAATTATAGGCCAAAATCTACTTCTGGTATAAATCTGGAGTACTTCCACTGACTTCAGAATTTGGCCCTGTGTTGTTAAAGGGCACTTTAAAAAGAATTTTGCATCCTTTTAGATTATCATCAATATAGATTAAAATAATTTGAAAGTCAATGGGAATTACGTTCCTAAGTGCCTAAGTAACTTTTGATGACTTAGGCACTGCAATGTTGAGCAAAGCAGCACCTTTAAAAATCTAGGATTTATGGATATTTACATGGGGAAAAAATATGGACTCAAACTGCTCACATGTAGTTGCCCCATTTTCTTAGTACTGCAGGTGAAAATTGGTAAAGTTAAAAGCAATTATATTTACTGAACATGTACCGAGTGCTCCACAGGAGACAGAGGAAGACATAATCCCTACCTCAAAAAATTTACAACAGTACCTTTTACCAGAGTATCTCAAACTGTTTCACAAAAAGGAAACAATCTTTTCCCCATTTTATAGGTGGGGGAACTGAATCACCAAATGTAGTTGTACTCTGAAAACTGACAAGTCAGAATGGCACTACCATGCTAATTTGTGAATCGTATGTGCTTGATGTACAGTTACTTCTGATAACTCATCTTGGCCTTTGAGAATCAAGCTGGCCTCTTTCCATCTCATTCCCTTAGTAACACCTGTGCAATCCCATTCCCATCACGTAGGTTTACAGAAGTGCAGTGAATTGGAACTCAGTAAACAATTCTCTTGATGAAACTCAAAATGGAATAGAATCCCATTAACTTAATCTTAGCTGTGTTGGTTCTGCAAAGCTAACATGAAAAACACTTATTTATTTCAGTAAAGCAAATAGATATGACTCTATGCACAAAAAGAAAAAAAAATCTGAATCATTTGTACTTAGTTTTCAGAGTAAACCTGCACTTTAAAGAAACTTTCTTAGAAGAGACGGATGGAGCCTCACTTTCAGAGCCTATGGATGAACACACTCCTCTTTAGGGCTGGTCTACACACTGTTTTTGTACCATTAAACAAACTGATTAAGTTAAAATGCAATCCCCTGGTGTGGTCACACATATTTAATATTTGATTTAAAAGTTTGTATATGATATTAGCTTATGTTAATTGTTCTTAATATGAGAATTAGTTCAATCGAAAGACAAAAATAGAACATTTTTAATGCTGAAGAGCCTACTTATAAACAAATACTCATATTATGCAAACTATGTAAACCACTTGAACATGCTTTGAAAATGTCCAATGGCTACACCAGAATTAATGAACACATTATATATGTCACTTACTGAGGAGAACACAAGTATTATTTCTATTAAAGGCAGATTGTTCTGGAAACACTTCAAGACCACATCAGTAATATTTTCCAGTATGTTGGGAGTGGTCTTCAAGTACCTAAATTATTTCACTCATCCATCTCCTGTTGTCTCATCCATGGCAGTTTTAGTTCCTTAAATATGAAGCACCTCACCACTTTCGTTTCATTAGGCATGTAAAGAAGAGGCTGAGTCTAAGTCATAGGCTACAATGGGAGACAACAAAGTTGACAAGTATTTTTAGGTCCAATTTATATTAGGATGGGTCCGTTCTATAGATTACTCTATGTCCAAGTGGAAGAATTTTATGGTGAAAGAAAGCTTGAAAGTAAAGTCCTTTGAAGCCATTAGTCCCCCAAAATGTGGATAGGATAATAGGGTGCATCAAAAAAATATAACTAAACAAATAAATTTATTACTGTGTTAAGTTTGTCACCCTTTCAAAGGAAAGATTTATTGCATGAAGATGGTGTGACCAAAAGGACCCCTGTATTCACATCCCACACACTAGTATAGCCATATAATCTTTGTCCAAAGGATTGTGTTGTGAGAAGCCCAAGTTGGGAGCTACAACAGCAGAGCATTGCAAAGCACCCAAGGTTATAGGGTGGTTGGTGACACACCCCTCATTGGTCTGGACTGCAGCCCAGAATGTGACAGAGGGTTCAGTGCACAAGAACCATTCTTTGAAAGAGGCTAAAGAGGTTGAATTTAACCACAATGGAGTTTAACATGGACGCATGGCTGGCTCCAGGCACCAGCCGAGCAAGCTGGTGCTTGGGGCGGCAGCTTGTAGGAAGCGGCATTCTGCCCAATCCTAGGGCGGTATGGCCGCCTTTTTTTTTTGTTTTGTTCCGCTCTGGCCGCCCTGTAGGGGGCAGCTGCGTGGAGGACGGGAGCGCCCTGCAGCAAGCCCAGCAGGGCAGTCCTCGTCCTTCCCTCCCCGCCGACCGGAGTGGTGTGGAGCCCTCCCGGCAGGGGGCACGGCGGGAGGGGCCGCGTGGCAGTGCCCTGCTGAAGCCCTGGCCGCCCCCCTTCTCTCTCTCTTCCCCCCGCTCCCTCCCCCTCCCAGCCGGGGCACATCTGCAGGGCAGGGAGTCCCCCTGCACCCTGGCTCCGGCCGCGCTGCAGGTTTTTTTAGCTTTGCTGTTCTGGCCGCCGGGGGTTTTTTTTTTTTTTTTTTGCTTGGGGTGGCCAGAAAGCCAGAGCCGGCCCTGCATGGACCAATAAAATGAAAAGGAAAAATAAAGCAGCATGAAAAACTGTTTGCAAAAAGACTAACTGCATTTAGCTCCTAATAGAGCTGGCCCAAGTGTGACTTTAATTAAAAAGAAATAAAGAATATTTGTGGAATTAATTTCAAGTGT